GCCAGGGCCAGTCCTTCCTGCCGGTGAGCGCACGCCGCCGAGCATGCCCAGTGCGGCGTTGGCGGCGCTGGGGGTGGCTCGGCTCTGCGCAGCCGCGCTGTAGGGCGGCCGCACGGGCTTCCTGGGGCTCCGCAGGCTCCGGGGCGGCGCTTCCCTGCCTGTTTGGCCCAGGGCGGCGCGCCCCTGTTCCGGCCCGTAGCGGGGCTCGCAAGCGCGCGCCTGTGTACACCCGGAAATGCCGGGGGCGCCGGGGCTTTCCCGCGGCCTGGCGCCCAGTGTCCCAGGTGCCGGTGGTGTGGGTTCGGCCCGCGGACTCTGCGCTCGACAGCCCAGGCACCTTCCCGGAGGCGCCTCTCGAGGGTGTGTTCACTCTCACCCGCGCAGACGCGCACCTGAGCACTGGGCATCTGTGCGCGACCGCCGGGCCTGGGGTCGGCCTGCGGAGCCTGGGGCTCCGGCGGCCCGGACCACCAGGTGCAGCCATCACTGATTCCTGGGCCTTGGAGCAGGCAGCCAGGATCTCAGTCACTACTCAGTGAGCACGTCCGAGCCAGCCACTGCCTGTGTTGCGTGCACACCGCTGTGTCTACCTGGGTCCTCATAACAACTCCCAAAGCAGTGATCACCCCCCAAAGCTTCAGGGAGTCACACCCCACTTGGCATTTTCAGCGGTCGTATCCCAGGCTGCTTTATGTTCTTGGCCAAGATGCTGCGGTCCCCCCAGGTTCTGCTTGTCTTCATGGGAAAGCAACCCGCACCGTGCCACAGTGTACAGCTCCCCTGCTGGGATCTCGCCAAATATGCATAGCTTGGTATTTGTGACTTCCAGGACGAACGTATTAACATTGTGTTTGTTAAAGGCTGTTCAGAGGAGAAACTCAGCAAGGTTATGGTTTGTGATGAGCCCCAGAGACTCTCTCCAAGCCCCAGCATCATCCCCCGAGGGCCTCCACGCTCGGCGTACCTTGTCTGAGGTGGGTTTGAGTAACTGCTCGTGGAAAATGAATGAAGCCTTGGGTACACAAAGGTCATCAGATGAGGGCAGTTTTTCTTTAAGGAGCCTGGACACAACCTGGGAATCCTTCACCCTCCTCCCGGAAGCGGCAAGCGTTTAAAACAAAGATGGCAGATGAAGCACAGTGGGCATTCGTACTGGTCTTAGTGCTGAGACCTCAGGTCGCTCATTCAGCTTCTCTAACCTTCATTTTCATCATCTGTAAAGGAGTTTTATAATAATCTACTCTGTGTTGGGGCGGAGCCCTGGTGGCCCAGTGGTTAAGCATTCAACTACTAACCAAAAGGTCTGCGGTTCAAATCCACCAGCCGCTCCTTAGAAACCCTATGGGGCAGTTCTACTCTGTCCTATAGGGTCGCTATGAGTTGTAATCAACTCAGTGGCAATGGGTTTGGTATGGTTGGGGTGGGAAGCCCTGGTGGCACAGTGGTTAAAGTGCTCTGCTACGAACCAAAAGGTCAGTGGTTCGAACCCACCAGCTGCTCCTCCAGAGGAAGATGTGACAGTCTGCTTCCATAAAGATCACAGCCTTGGAAACCCTATCGGGCAGCTCAACTCTGTCCTATAGGGTTGCTATGAGTCAGAATCGACTCGACGGCAGCGGGTTGGGTATGTTAGGGGTGGTACAACAACAGACAAACAAGCCTGCATGATCATGATTTCCAAAAGCCCAAGCCGCGTTCATCAAGAGCCCGTCTGCCTCTTCCCTTGCCCGTGTTACCCCGTTACACCCACACACTCCTCCTAATGTTCAAGGAGCGCAAGGATGGCTGCAAAAGAGGGAGGGAGGTGGCCGGGTGTGCTGAAGGGTAGAACGGAGAGAATCGGAGATTTGGGATGCGGCCCTGCCCAGCCCCTCGCAGGCCCAGCCATCTGTCTCCGTGCAGACTCCCCAACTTCTCTGTCCTTTGAGTGACAGCATTGGACAGGGTGAGTGAGCCCGTTTGGGTTCCCCATCTTGGAATTAGCTAATCAGGCCCCATTCTCCCCTGACATACTTCCCATGGATCACTTTTTACAAAGTAGGGGTAACTGCAGCAGCGTAAGCTGAGCTGCAGCCTGGCCTCCCCCAGGTGCTCCTCGGGTAGCCTAATATCAGCCAGCCTTCTTGGAGGCACTGTGAGCACGTGGATTTGCATAGTTTTCTTTAAACATCCAGGTGGATTCCTTTCAGGTTAAACAAATGAACACGACGTGATTGTTTCCAATGATTTAGCAACCAGAGAAATTTGTTTAATAAGCCTCTCTTTCCAAGCTACTTGGGTGACATGAGAGACCGTTTACAACAAAGCTGTCTTCAGTAGTCAAACTTAATCCTTACTACCCTACCTTTGGGAAATAAAGGGATTTTATAACGATCACATAAAACCTTATGTGGTTTGAAAGCCCCAAACTCTGGACAAACGTGTGATGGTCTCGTAACAAAAGAAACATTACTGAGCTCCCCATTGTAAGCGCTTCACATGTGGTTTACTTTTAGGCTAGCATCTCCAGTGGAGAGCGTCCCCGATTAACACAATCGATTTTCTTAGGCCCGGGGTTCCTGTAAAGGTTGTAGCCAAGAGCAGAGTCTGTGCCCCAGACCTGGGTGGTACGAGGCCGGGGGCCTGAACGTTCTGGAAGAGGAAGCCTGAAATGGCGGGGGCGGGGGGCGAGCTGGGTGGGCCCAGGCTGTCTCCAGATTACACTCCAGACCCCGACTGGTTCTTACCATCACTGAAACCATCATGTGTGTTTGCAGCCGGAGTGAAATCTATGAGGGCGCCAGAGGAGGGCAGGAAGGTGGGTGGGTGGGTGGGGGTATGAAGGGTGCACAAAGGCGTTGTTGTTAGCTGACATCCATTTGGCCCCGACTCATGGTGACCCCATGCACAATGGAACGAAACACTGCTTGGTCTCTTGATTGGCTGCAGAGTGGACCGTTGTGCTTCAGAGAGTTTTCGTGGGCTGATTTCTGGAAGAAGATCACCAGGCCTTTCTTCCTAGTCTGTCTTAGTATGGCAGCTCCACTGAAACCTATTCGGCATCATAGCACAGACAAGCCTCCATGGACAGACAGGTGGTGGCTGCCCGTGAGGGGCGTTGGCTGGGAAATTGAACATTCGTCTCCCGCCTAGAAGGTGAGAATTCTATCACTGAACCACCGCGGCCTCGGACAAAGAGGAGGGCGGTGCCGGTAACCCAGAGAGGTTTGCTTAGCTCTTGCATTCCTGCAAAGAGGTGGAAAATCCTCTGCCCAGGATCCCCGGGGAGGTTCCCTGGCCGTCTGGACCGCTTCGGGCCCTTCTGTCCTTGGGTCTAGGGGGCAGGTGGAGTGCTCTGCACAAGGAGACAGCTGGAGGCAGCCAGAGCTTCCCATTCAAGCCTTCACTCAGAAGGTGGTTTCTGAGACCTACTTTTGCCGCTTGGTTGGTGCAGGCGCTGGAGAAGCTGCGTTTAATAGGGCGCTCACAGCTGAGTGGTGCTGATGACAGGGAATGGAGTTGGCGATCTGGAGCAGGGAGGGCTCTCCCGGAGAGGTATGCTGGGGGTGCTGGCGGTGTGGAGGAGAGGTCCTTCCCACAGCTCTTTTCAAGAGCCTCCATGTGCCAGCCCTGTGCTGTGAGTGACCCAGCACCCTGGGGACCTGCTGGGCAGCCAGGGAATCGGCTGGGGTCAAAGAGGATGTAAAGGAAGACCAACAGAGAAAATGAAAGGCGCCAGCTTCCTAATAGGGAAATACCCGCACAGGATAAAGGTCCAGATCTCTGGATGGGCAAATGGTTAATGTGCTCAGCTGCGAACTGAAAGGTTGGAGGTCTGAGTCCACTCAGAGATGCCTCGGAAGAAAGGCCTGGCAATCTATTTCTAAAACATCAGCCACTGAAAAACCCTATGGAGCGTAGTTCTACTCTGACACATATGAGGTGGCCATGAGTCAGAATCAACTCCATGGCAACTGGTTTATTATTTGTGGCATTTGGATCATGAATGTTGGACAGATACTATACCAAACCTTACACATACAGCTCTGCCTTCCAAAATGTGGTGGCTTAGGATAGTTGAGCATCCAGGGAATTTACATCCCACATGTAAACAAGGAAATAAAAGTCAATTCCTCAGACTTAGACACGGCATGCGGATAAACTGATTAAACCCACGACTTCTGCAAATCTGAACGCAAACTAGGGTGGGCTACTTGAGGGCACGTTGAGTGGACGACCCAGGACGGGGCATTTTGTTAAACGCGGGCTTTTTCAGCACAGCTCCCACACTCATTATGAAGTGTTTCCAATCTGTTTTCGGGAAGGGCTGTGCTGGTAACAGGTTGTTGGCAGTTTGGGAGGAATCTGTAAGTGGTGTGAAGTACTGGGAAGCGCACACACCTGGGTCGCCTGGAGGAAGCGGGTTCCCCACCCCAACCCCCCCTTCTGGGATGTGCCAGAAGCACCTGGATTTTTGTGACTGGGAGATTAAAGCCAGTGACATGGGGATTTCGATGCTGAGATTGTGATGTGTGGCCGTCTGCTGCTGACTGGGAAACCAAAAATGAGATTCAAGGCAGGAGAAGCCACCGTACCAAGTGTCCCCTGCAGCCGCCACCATATTCATTTGACAAAGGGAGAGTGGCTGTGCTCCCGCCGAGGGGCCTCTTCTATCCAGGCCTCGTGCATTCAGCGAGAGGGTTAAAATAGCAGGAGGCAAGGAGGGGAATGATCACTGTGTGCTCTACGTGGGGGGGTGGGGGGCAGGGCAAGTTGGTATAGAGGGTGTCTGTCCTGTTGTCCAATTGTCCATTAGCATGAGAGAACCCC